CCTCCAACGAAAGAGCGATGGCCTCCAACCTACAAGGGATGGCCTCCGACCTACAAGCGATGGCCTACAACCTGCAAGCGATGGCCTCCACAGATGCTTCATTAAACAAGAAGGCTTTTGTATGTCCTCCTTAGTAGTGACTGTGCTGGCTCTAAGATTTGACCCTCACTACACCGTTCTTATCAGAGGAAACTACTTAATTTAATTTAATTCCTTCTTGTTACTAGTAGCTACTTGCTCCTAGTAGTAAGGCCAGGAGCCCCTAGTAGCGTCCTTGCTCCTAGTAGCGATGCCCTTTGTTACTGGTGTTCTGGATTCTTGAAGTCTCGGTACCATTGATTGAGAAAGTAATCGCGGCTCAAGTGAGTTTTAACGGTACGAAGAAGCCAATTTTGTCTCTGAGGCCCTGCCATGTGCGGAGACATCGGCAAAGGCACTTGGTGGATGGGAGAGTTGCTTGCCTGATCCATCAAAAACAAGAAGCTACTAGGAGCAAAGGGCATCGCTACTAGGAGCAAGTAGCTACTAGGGGCTCCTGGCCATACTACTAGGAACAAGAAGCTATTAGAAACAATCAATAAATTGAACTAAGTTTAATTAGATTTTAATTAGAATTGAAACAAGTCTCTTCCTCTTTAATTTGGCAGGCAATTGCAGACCCATAGGGTTCACAGACAGGCGCTGATCTAATTCCTCCTCTGGATGCTGAAGGGGTTGCCCAATGCTGGACTCAGGTTCTTGAAGGCTTGCAAGGATTGCCGCATCGATGCGGTGGCCATCCACAGCTATTGGTGCCTCACTTGCTCTAGCGAAAGATATATCGTTTTGGGAGGCTGATCATTGATTCTTGACGATGTGGTTCGTTTGGAACACTAACCCCTCATTTGATGGATGTGACAGTGGTGTGATAACTGAGGTCTTGGAGAGATTTCCGTGATACCCTTGGATCTACCTGACATCACCAACCAAATCCTTTGTATGAGAAGAAAACACATTAGTCTAGAACCACTGTCTTAATCTTATGTCAACTCCAAAACTTGTTGGGATTCAGTCCAATGCCCTTGAAGCCAACTTGGGATGAACCTTGCCTCATTTTCCATCCCCATGCTCTCGATGCTCTCCATGCTTTTTGCAATCTCTTGAGGTGCACCTTGTTTCTAAGAGCGATGGCCTCCACGCTGGAAGCGAAGGCCTCCAACCTATTAGCAATGGCCTCCAACCTACTAGCGATGGGCCTCTAACCTGAGAGCGATGGCCTCCAATCTGCTTGCGATGGCCTCCAACCTACTAGTGATGGCCTCCAATGTAATAGTAATGGCCTCCAAGCTACTCGTACTAGCGATGGCCTCCAACCTCCTAGCGATGGCTTC